CCTGGATAGGGTCTGGAACTAGGGCACCTTTAAAATCCTTTCTTTCACAACAGTTATGATCGCTCTTGCATCTTATTCAACGCTACGTGATATCTGCAAAAGAAAACAGACCAATTACTATAATGAACTACCTCAACACTAGCATGGAGAGACCTCACACTATATTGTTGAAACCGATTCCAAGAAAAATTGCCTCGCGTGTGAGCGTGCGACTTTGGATGGGTGTGTCATAGACAGTCCTGTCACTTGAGTGGTTAGAATTGACAAACAGTGGAAAATGCAGGGAAAACCAGAGGCTCTTTTAGGTGTTCTTCAAATCTCCATGAACAAAACCAGGTCAGGCCACCGCTGTCTTCGCTTGCGGTCTCCATGTTGGCACTGTTTTAATGCACCGAATGTCGTGGGCGAGTAGTTAGCACTCTTTGTATTCGAAAGGTCCAAACTTCAAATCTCGGCCCCGAAAGAGCCTCTCCTGACAAGAGGTTTTACGTGCTTTTCCTCAGTCCCTTCAGAAAATTCCGGGATAGTAACCTAAATTAGGCCACGACCACTTCTTTAAACATTCTTTCAAGTTCACCATTCATCAATTATTCGACGCTACATAGCCAGAACTACTGACAGCGTCGTTAAATCAACTACAAAACAAATTTAATAACATTATTAATTATGAGATCATTATTGACCTGTGACTGCGAAATTCCTTACCAGAAACACCATCCATTTGAGTTTCGATTAATCGACAGAATTATTTTCTTCTTTATTATAATTTACATTACAATAAAATATATTTATCTTGATTTATTTCCATATTCTCGTCAGACGACAGACTAAAGTGTATTTACTGTAACATAGCTTACATTATCTTATATCTGTATTTTATATAAAAAAACATACAAATACAAGATAATATGGTAACATGATAAAGTACAATTGTACAATAAAAAAGTTGATAAAATAACTCCATTTTAAACATTTTAATGTGCTTTATACAACTAAAAATGGCACACTTGATAGGTTTTTATATTAAATGTCCTGAAGATGACATAGCAGATGACGTAACATGCTGATACTAAATCATATATTATATAAATAATTATATGGATGGATTAATAATAGCTAAATTATTAATTCAAACTTCCTCAACATGGGACGAAAGCATTCTGCGTAGAATGTTGAGCGTAATGATGGTATAACTTCAAACGAATCTCGCTGTCCCCACCCTCGTGGCTTAGACCTAATCATACTGACGCTAATTAAAATGAGGGCGCGCACATTATACTCCTTATACAAACATTGGGTTGTGTAACCGTCGCCTGTCCTTTACAATTTATTCTCTAGTAGAAGATTCTCGCCGCTACCTTTTCTGATAAAACTGCAACTAAAGGAAGTGGATATTTACTTGCGTCTACAGTCAATCGAGGTTCTTTTTGATCTTCGTTTCTCCTTAAAATACTGACACACTACCGGCTGAACGCAAACAGAAGATTACAACCGATGTAAGTTAAAAAGATAGTTCTTACTTTAATTTTCTGCGAGGAATTTATACTGTACTCATCTCACGTCGTTTTTACGTTTTATATTTACGAGACGATGGATAATATCCAAGAACACTTTTATTCAATTGACTCTTCACCATCGTCAAGAAGTTTTAGATTTGATGTACTCATCTCTCATTTACATTTTTTATTCTTTCACGCAATTCTTCCTGTACGTACGCTAATTCACACCAAGCAGCAGCGTGCTTCTTGAGAATCTGATGGTCGCTCGGCTGGTCAAGAAATTCCCCGACTTTTACAGAATAAAAAGGTTCATTACCGTGTACACAGGAGGCTGCCACAGGACTCTATCCCGAGCCAATTGAATTCCGTCCATAACACACTCTATTTATTTAAAATCCGTTTTAATATCATCCCATGATCTCCTTAGTATATAAAGTCTCAGTTTCTTGAGATTCATGACTACAATTCTGTAGCATATATTATCTCTCCAACGCGTGTTACATGTTCCGCCCATCTCAGTAATTCTATAAATACTATTATAAATTTCTTGCTGAATATGAACTCCTGAGATCTAAAGTGATATAATTCAAATTCTTTTAATGTTGCACAAAATGGCATTTCTCGTTAATACGTACAAAAAATGTATGATACACCTAAAACACTCTTCTGTGTCTTCGTTAAAGTTCTAGAGCGTCTATAACTCGACGTTCAGTATATTTAGTTGCTTGAGTCGTACAAGTAGAAACGACAAACCCCGAAATAACTCTCCATTCAAGTGTTGGCCCTTTATTCGTTCACACTTTAAAGATTTGTCTCGAATTTCTAATTCTGGATAGCTGAACCAGTGCAGATGTTAAAACTGTTTCCTCGTTTACTCATTAATGTTACTACTGTCATATAACAATATAATCTCACCATGCAATTTTGGTTGTGATTTTAGACGAAGGATTAACGTCGGAGACGAGCTACACCTCGTATTCTATCGAATGCCACTAACGCAAATAACACATTATTCTTTCTGTACACTAATACGCGTGACAAAATGTGTCGAATAAAGTTCCTGAGTATAGACTGGATGATCAGGATTCGATTCCAGCAGGGAGAGAGGATTTTATTTTCGCCATCTCGTCTAGACAGGCTCAGACGTCAGCAAGCCTTCACTCCGCGTCCATATACGTACTCAACGTGCGGTGCTGAAGTACAGCACGTTATCTGTCACGAATTGACAATGTTGCCGTCATGCCCTTATGATTTTCGAACAGTGTTTACATCTATTCGTTTCTTACTCAATCAGCATTTTTAAAGTCTACAAACTGTAAAGCTCATCATTATGCAATATTTTTTTCACTCTCCTCTTACTCTCTATTAGGTCCAAAATCTCTCCTCGGCAGTTTGCTCTCAGAGATTTCTAATATATGTTCTTCGTTTACGGAGAGGAAGCAAGTTTCACGCCCAAAACACCAGGTAAAATTACAATTTTAAACATTTCGATCTTTAAACTTTAAAAAATAAATCAACTTTATAAACGACTTTGTACTGAACAGCAGTAAGTCTAGAAATTTATCGTTGTCCAATAATAAATTATCTTCAACTTTACAGGCAACATCTTGTAATACTGTTAGTTGTTAAACATGCTTTGCTTTAAGCCCATACTTCGTTTAAAGTTTCTGACATGAGCAGGTCAGTTCACTCCCTGCTAAGTTCTTCAGTATTTAAACTACGAATTCCAAGCCGCTTCTGTTGCTTCCGGCCACGGCTGAAAGTCTGAAGCTATTAGCCCGGAATCCCAGAGTCGGGACTCACAGCCAGAACACGTGGAACTGAGGCACTCAGAGGCAGGCGGGTTTCACAGAATTGCAATATAAATGGAAATGTGTGGCTCTGTCAGGTGCAGACTTGTAGCTAATGGCTGCATGCATTATGGGTGCTTCAGGCTGCACATTTGTAACCAGTTGTTGATGTCCGCGACTTGCAAAGTGGGCACGATCTTCGGCAGACTGGATCTTAGGGCTGCAGACTGAGCGCTAGTTGATTTTCAGAGATTTCTCTGTCCTGTAGGGTACATGGCAGACGGAAAGCTCATTTTCTCTTCAGTTAAAAACTTCATATTTATAATTGTGATAACAACCAGAAGCTTTAGTTAAAACGATTTCACAGATTAAGTTAGCAATATTCAATTAACACTTTGTGTAACAGCATCAAGCGACAACTTCAGCTGATATTCAACTGTTCTTTACACAGCGACGTAATGTTTAACGTGTTACCCTTACCTATAACCTCTCCATTCGTGTAATCTATTATTATTGTTTAATTTATTTTACCAGTGCATCAAAATACGTATGTGCATTCTTTACTGCAATCTTGTCAATTATAATTTCTAATTACTGACACGGAAGTCTCGAGGGAGGTTCAAAACGTGAGATGAACCACAGCAACCTCCCCCTTCTACCCCTCACATGTCTGATCTCAATCATTGTGAATTCCAGAATAATCTGACAGGCTGTAACCGATTGGAGTAATGCAGAATGAACACAAATAATCTGAGCGGTTTCAAATATGTGTTTAGAAAAACTAAACCTGCAAACAGAAATGAAATTACACCACTGAAAGGGGAACTTCAGCGCTCGGGGAAGTGAAGAATCTCCATCGATGACTACCAGGAACGCAACTGTTGATACAGAAGTAAAATGGCGACCAGAGAAAGCGAAATTAATTCGCACAAAAGTGATCTTTATGGAATTTCACCCGAAAACCCTGATGTGGGATGGAATTCGAGCATGGAAAACACTTTGTGGAACTGAGTCGCCATTTTGCTGCCACGTCAAGAGTTACGCTCCTAGTGTCCAACAGTGGAGTTCCACCACTTACCCTTCTAGCGCAAACGATTTTTTTCTAGGTTCTCCTTTCACTGGTGAAATTTCATTTTTGTATACCGTTTAGTTTCGTTAAATAAAATTTTTAAACCGTCACTCTGTATAACTTGACAAAACGTGGATTAACAAATAAACGAATCAGAATATCGCTTTGTTGACTACATTACAAAGCTCTGTAGAAACATATCGCATCTTTACATCCGATTAGCTCCCTATATCAGTTAGAAAGTATACGACCGCTATAAGCAATGTATATCGTAATGGAAAAGCTGGTAACAAGGAAATATAACAAAAATATGGCAATGGATTGGCTGCTTTACTAACATCAAAGCCACATTACTGGCGGTAGGAGCTGATGACCTGAAAGAAAACTTTGAAAACAGCAACAAACAAAAAATACTATCGCATGTGTTCATGCTCTGTTCTGGCTGATATTGTAGGGTCTGTTGTAATGGGGTACCGGTTCCCTGGCAACTGCCTGACGTCAGAGTTCTCTCAGAACCACGTTCGGTCCCCAAGTGAACACAGCTGGTGACAAAT